AAAGTACAGTGGCAGTCATGCATGTGCCCTGGTAATTGCCACTGATAATCTGACCAAAGGTGAAGCCAGCTCTTAAATTCACTGAGCAGTGACACCATTTAGAGATTTAAAGACCCATAGAATGGGTCTGTTCAATTCTTACAGGAGAAAAATAAACCACTGGTATTATAGATTTGTGTGTGTAGATACACCCTGTAATTATACAAGGCCAATTCCATTATCCCCAATCCATCACACCACTCACGAAACAAGTTGGTAGCAGGAACTAAGGGCACAGCCACATAGCTGTGTTAAGGTAATGTCCTCCAAACTCTTAGCTAGCAGAAAAATATGCCAGGGTAAATTGCACTGTGCTCATCACTGATCCCAATTCTGCCTCAATAATGAGACCAGCGAGGGATATTGTGCTTAAGTTTTAATGAGGGAAAAGTTAAGGAAAATGATGGTTAGATTCCCTTTGATTTGTTTTCCTTCCACTGAGCATTATCAGGAGAAAAAAAACCCCACTGTGGAGTCCTTGGGGTTCTCTGAGCTTGTCTGTTTTCTTGCAAACATTTCGTTACCCGGCTAGGTAACAAAATGTTTGCAAGAAAACAACCAAGCTCAGAGAACTCCAAGGACTCCCCAGTTCAGCCCTGAGCTACACATATGCTCTATTATTGGTAAAAAAAACAAAAAAACCCCACCAGCCTTTCTCCTTAATGTCACAGGGATGGGCAACTCAATGTAGGTGCTTAGAACAATTGGTTTAAGACTCCTGCCAAGTTGTCCAACTGTGCATGGAGATGTTCTGCACCAATTTTTGAATACAGATCTAGCAATTTTCTGATCATTGCCATAATACCCAGGGCTTTTTTCTTAATTCTATTTGCAGTGTAAACGTCATTTGTATTTCTATAAAACAAAAGTCTGTTATTTTCTCCTTCAATGGAACACATTCTCATGGGGTATATTTGGACTATACTGTTGTCTGTTTCAATAGAGATAAAAATATTGTTGCACCAAACTATATGAACAATTGATACCATATTATTTTAAATTGTTGTGTGTTATTTGACAAGGTTTGTTTTCCAAAATTCAGCTGAATTAAATAAATCCTCAATTTTTTTCCTTTTGAAGAGCATCCACCTTTTGCTTCATTGACCATAGAGTAACAAGCAAAAATTTGATATGCAGAGTAGGGGGAAAAATGCTTAGTAACATGGTAGTATGGATTCATTATTCTGCATATAGTAACCCTTTTCTTATGTTAAATGTGTCTGTCACCACAACTGAATCAAATTCTTAACAGCAGGGTATAATTGATCATCAGTGAACTGAAGAAAGAACAATAAACTTCTGATACTCCAAGGTGTTAGTAGGCACTGGCATTTGTTATGAGTTTCCATGGACTTCGATTTTCTGTCCAAGCACTATGAAGAAAGTGGTATATTTAAATTGTTAATGACTATTCCTAAGCAATTTTGATTAAATAGTAAAAGAAAAGGAGACTGGCAAGATGACAGAAAGCATTCAGATTACTGAACAGGATTTCCTGTTTAATTATTCTGCTCTTAGAGTTTCCCCACAATTTTCTCTTACCTTCCTCATACATCATCAAAGATCTTATATCAAAGTGATGACAGAGAAGAATATTTGAAGTATCTATGCTCTCTGTGCACAATGTTTCTATGTTCTTTGTGCACAATGTTATCAGGGATTATTCAGTTTTCCTGTGCAATTTCTTGTCAATAGCAGCTACTTTACAAACATAAGTCATAGGTGCATACTGAGCGCACTATTTCCTTTTGCATAAGTATTATGCAGAGTACAGAAAGAGTACGCAAAAGAAAGTAAAGGCAGGAGAAAAGGGGAAAGGAAAGGTAATTAAATCAAGTTTACACAATAATTATTCAGTATACCTCTCCATCTCTCTCTCTCTCTGCTTCTACTGTGTCCATACACCAATCCATATCTTGTCTTTTTTTCTTTAAAATTCTTACCTCTTTCTTTTGGAGAATCTCATCAACTCCATTTTCTTGGTCTTCTCCTTCCTTTCAAGTCCTTCACTCTTTCTTTAGGAATTTGTTTTGCGATTTGATCTTAATTCATTTTTCCTGTATGGCCAAACCCCCTCAAAATACTTACTTTGTCCTGATTGTTCACTTTTGTCATTCATTCTTCAAGCAATCTTTTTTTTTTTTTTTTTGGATGTGACCAAAATGTTTCTTAGGTATTCCATTCCCACCACTTGCAACTTATTTTATGTTTCTGCTGATGTACTGAACTCTCACTTCCATATAACAAGGTGGGTGGAAGCACCAGTATACATTCTTGCTTCTTTCAACACATATTCATTTCTTGAAATAGACCACATAGTACCCCCTATTTACTACCAGCATTTGCACATCTTAAAATGTCTCCATCCATTTACCCTTCTTTAGTAAATTTTCTACCCAAGTACACACATTCATCTATTTGGTTTCATGTTCTGGAATTTGGGGGGTGGGGGTTGCCCAGTTATTTAAACTCTGCAACTATTCTTTCCCTTTTCTCTGTCAAGCATTATATAATGTACATACCGAGGAAAATAGTTGCAAAGAATGTAATCAAAGAGAGCAAGGAATGCTTAAGATTTAAAAAGTCAGAGAAAATGCAGAGCAATTTTGATGGAAATAAAAAGTGGGCTGGGGTTTGGATTGTGCAGCTGCAGGTACCATTTTAACTTTTTACCCACCCGCCAACCCCCCCCCCCCACCAAATGCCCAAGGTTAAATGACATCCCACCTCTCCCTCCTGTAACCTGAGCTATCAGGGATAGATCTGCTAAAGGCTAGATTTCTTTCCCAGAATGAACCCTGCTGGTTCACTAAGAACTATAAATCTTATTACATAATGAGGACAGGGACCTCAAGGAAAGTTGAAAAGGAAAGAAAAAGGAAAGTAATGAACTATTGCTTTCCCAAGAGATTGATCTTAGTTAGTTGTTCCCTCCAGCCCAGGATCTCACACATGCACAGGAAGCAGAACGAATTTACTCTGCCCAGATTTTAATCCATTAAATAAAGCATGATCTATACTACAGCTGGCTTCATTGATCCTAGCTTGATGTCCAAATTGCTGGGACTAGCCCTGTCCATCTGGCTTTGAAGTATCTCTGAACAGGGTATTTGGGAAACTGATTTTCAAATTAATCTAAGTTTGGTTCCCAGCCTCCCAACACATTTTTTCCCCCAAATGGGACCCAGTGTCTTACCTCTCATCTATCACTAGCCTGACATTTTGCTGGGCCAGGCTGGAGGCATTACCTTCTGCTCTTTCGATGGGGTGCTAGGAAAATTCTGCCCCACACAGGTCCTTGCAGGGATGGCTCAGTAGAGTCCTTGAGCCATATGCTTCATCACTGATCTCTCTACAGGGAATCCTGAACAATTTTAATCTACTCTATCTTGGAGAAATTTCCTGGCAGGGGGCATGACTTCTATTTGATGCTTCTCCTGTCTGACCGTTGTTCGGGTATATCTTTCTGGGTTGCCCAATTCTATATGTGCATTTGTACTAACGTCTCTTCTTTTTAGCCTTATATATTTTCATTTTTATCTGTTTCATCTGCTGGCCTTGTGGCCATAAGGATTGATCTAATCTGATCTAGTCAATCGAGACTTTCACATAATGCTTTTTAGTAAAAGAAAGAAAAACTAGACTGAATTAGCAGCCTTAGAGATTCCCTGCTAATGGTAAAGGCAATACTGGCCAGTTATGGCACACTGGGGTCAGTATAACAGAAGTGCAATCACAGCCCAGTTTTACCTTAAGCAAACTCACAGGATAGGGTCTGTAAACTAGAGACTATCTTGTAAACCAACAGATTGCTGCCTATATTCCAACACTAGGGGGTGCACTTATTTATTTATTTAGAAAATTTATATGGCCACCCAATACATAACCCTGGGTGGCCCCCAACAAACTGCAAAAATACATTAAAAGAACACCATAAAACACAACCATAATAATACGAGGCACCATAACAAATTGCACATGCAGTGTACATACAATGTACTGTACTAACACATGCAGGTACTATTTTCTTTTATCTTACATATAAGAATAGTCAGATGATGCTGTTCCAGGACAGCAGTCCTATTACAGTGTTGTGAGAGGGCATGAAGTGCATGTGTGCTATGTCCACCAACAACCAGCCCAGATTGTGGGAATTTCTGAAGAGAATTGTAACTGCAATACATTGTGAAATCAGGGAGATCTGGTCGAGCAAGATTCCAGATTACAGGGAAGACTAAAATACCACATGGCTGTCTTATGCCCTGAAGTACCACACACCCTGCCTTAGGCATATCCTGAGTTGCACTGGTAGAGGCTGTGCTGTGACCAGTGCTGAGAGACAACAAAGTCTAGTTGGCCTCTGTAGATGGAAAAGAGGTCCCTTTTCTTCTTTGTCCAAGATGGCAAAACATTTTAAAATAGTGGGAAAAGCTTTTTCTGCTGGTCCTGCCACACTGAGGATGTCTTCACCAGACCTCCATGATGAACTCTCAGAAATGCTGTTTTAAAAGTGGAATACTGATGTGCCCAGTGGATTTTTGCAGCAACAGATCTCCAAAACTATAGGCAATAAGAACTATAATGTGTTCAGCTATGTGATATAACATTGGGCATGCTGAGTGAAGGTTTTGTATTCTAACAAGGTTTGTAGATTCCATCAAACCTTTCAGGAACTCAAGACAATACATTCTTCTCTTTTTAAAAACCGTTTTGAGAAAAATCCCACCAAACAAGTTGTCCCGCCTGCATGGACAATGGATGAGGCAGGACTTAGAGGGCTAGTGAGGGTCAAGCAGATAGCATGGCAAGAGCTAAGATCTAAACCTGCAAGTGGGGAAAGCTACTTACTTTATCCACTCGCTTTATTCAGCCTTTTTTTTTTTTTTAAGTCTAAAGCTCAATATTTACTGATCCCAGATATAGGCTAACATATAATGTAGGCACACCATTTGCAATGAACACAAAGGTGATTGAGAAGGATTCTTAATCCTGCTTCCAACTGCTGCTTTGCTTCTTCTGTGTCACATTCCCTGACCAACTGCTTCGGATAGGTGTTTGCTGTTTCACTTCAGGAATGGAGAAGACATTGTAGACAAAAAGCAAAAAAAATCAGAAAAGCATTCTTCTTCCACTGCACCTATGCATATTTATAGGTATGTTTGTTTATTTGTTTGTTTATTTACAGATTTTATGTACCATTTCAAACCATGGAGGTTGTAAGTGGCATAAAACAGTAAACATAAAAACAATAATGCAAGATCTGTACAACAACAATATAAAATAGTGATATCTACAATCTAGTAATTTCCACTACTGTTCAAACACCAAAGACCTTCCAGGATATGTAAGGTTTTACAAGTTTCTAGGAGGCTACGATAATAGTAGCTTCTCTCATCTTGGGGGGCAAACTATTCCAGAGGAAGACACCCCCACACCCCCCAAATGCCTGCTTCATGCCACCTCCTGTTGTTTCTCATAGTAGGTAAGGACCCAGCATATATTTTCTGTATGTCCAGCTTGGGCAAGCAGAATCTATCTAGGAAAAGTGATTTATCACAATTTCAGGATAAAAGCATAGCACCCAGATATAAGCTTGCCATCAAATATTCATTATAAACTTAGCATGCTGCTGTTTGGAATAACTGATTTCTATTTGGGGGAAATACACACACACACACACACACACACCGTATCAGTTGGGATGATATATGCAGGCATGCTTATATACATATAAATCAATTAAATGAAAATAGGTTTGTTTGTAGTTCTTAGTGTAGAGGATTCTTTAAGAATAATTACCTCTGAGAACATCTATTTATAGGACTATTTAGTTTGTTAAGCTTTGTATATTCTTAGGACTTGTGGTTGTGATTAACAACTGTGGATTTGCAGTGTATTTCTTGCAAGCCCTGTTAAATATATTTGTCTCATGTTGAAAAGGAAGCAGAAATAAAATTCTTCCTCATTTCACTGCCAAGTGCTTTGTGATCAAACTTATAACTATTCTATTGTTGCATAGTCTAAGTCACATTTGAGTCATAATGCAACTGACAAAATTATTGCCCCATTTGGAAAATAGAGTTAACTCACAATTCTACATTGCATAAATAGGTGAATGTTTGCTCTTAACAGTCTTGTGAAATCAGAACCTATTCCTGATCATCTTAAAGCCACTTTTGGAACTAAACACTATAGTGATGTTTACTTCCCACCCCCATGTCCTCCCTCTGATGAGATTCTTTTCTCCCATCTGGTAATTTATATGCATTGTTTAAATATTATATTACCATTTTACTTTCCAGAAACATATATGAGATTACTTGGACAATATTAAAAATGGTACAGGTTTCAGAAGATTTATATCTGTCAACAATATTCAAAATAACTACAGATAGAGAACTAGATTGCCAGTATGAAATATACAGCTCATTTACATAGATTGTACAGTACATGGCTTAGGGAATTAAAATCTAATAACTTTGCAGAAGCATTTTTTCATTACTTGGAAAATAGTAACATGTAGCAAAGGCCACATGATGAATGCCTGTTGAACAGATGAGTTGTGAATTTGTCCATAACAGGTTAGGGATTTCTTCTTCCCTGCCTCCTGTCTTACTAATTATTACTGTGTTTTCAGAAGTAAAGCTTCCCTTCCTCTCAGCTACTGGGTTTAATTCCTCCACAAACTGCTAATCAGGATGTCAGGGGGAAAAAAAACAAACCTGCTTGAGAAGTGAAAAGGAAAAATAGGGTTTTATGGAGACCAAGCATTGGGAAGAGCCAGAGCTAATGGGCTAAGAATTGTGGTTGTTGTTATTTTAGTTATTATTGCTTCAGCTTTCCTTTATCTTCCTTCCTACACATTTATATCGAATCTTTGCCTGTTTATATTCACCTTTACCCATCCATGTCCCTTTTTTTTTCTGCCTTTCCTTTGTTCATAAATTAATTTATGTAAGAACAACTACATATCTTCTAAGTCACTTACTTATGGCAGACTTACATTTGGGGCAGTACTTGAGATTTCTTTGATAAATTCATTATTTGGGGAAAGACTCAAGAAACAAATGAATATTCCGTATCTTGTAATCAAGGAACGGCAAGTTAAACATTATATTTTTATCACTCTAGAAGATAACTGGATTATTCATGAATAAGCCTCTCTTAGCCTTGCATCAGTGCACTCAGGTGTTTTCTTCCCTACTAGCTGGTTGGCACTAATGAGATATAAATATGAGTATAAATATGCATGGGAACTCCATTGAAGTAAAACACTAACCTTGTTAAGCTTATAGCATTTTTTCATTTCTTTGCCATAGAATGTATTTTCAGATCGATCTCATTGCAGGGCACATTTCAACATGGAGAATTATCAAAGGCTCAATAGGTCTATTTTTTCTCCAAAAATAAATGTATTATTTTCAGTTGTACAGTACAAACTGAACAAAAGGTCATTTGGCAGAATAGGAGCCCTCTATGTGCTTCCCATATTCCCATGACCACCTGTTTACCTGTGGACATGTTTTTTTCATATGCATAAGTAAACAGAGTATGGTAAATGTCATTCTAAAAGCATCTTTGATCATCCTGTTGGATGATCTGTCCTGGAAGATGGGAGAGGTGGAGCCATCTTGGTTTAACCAGAGCTTTCAGCAGCATTTGGGACTCTCAAACACGGCATTGTTCTAGTTAAAGAATGGGACTGTGCAATGCTAATGCCCTCTGTTTACAGTATGTCTGGAGGGCTATTACCAGAAAGTATTGCTGAAGACTCTTATGCCATTCCATGGCTTTCGGCCTGTGGGAGGTCCCACAGTGGTCTAATTGATGTCTTATACATATCTGCCTGAAACAGACTGGTGAGGTCTTCAAGAGATCTGGAGTGAAATGCCATCAGCATGTTAATAAAATGCAGCTCTATTTTATATTTGTATCATTTAATCTTAGGAAAGCCATGGAAGAGTTGAATGGAAGAGAAAGCTTGGGGCCAATCAAATATAAAAGAGGAGGAATACACTGAAACTTACAAGGTAAAATAGTGGATTTGGGGTATCAATTGACCTAAGTGTATGTAGATGTATCCCTGTTCTGTTTGGATTTACCCTCTTCCTGGAGGTGTGATGTTTAGTTTAGGAGTATTTCTGGAACTGCTGAAAACTCTGAATGGCCCAGTGGCTTTGCTAAGCTAGAAGCTTCAGCTGGTGTGCCAGCTGAGAATTCATCGTGAATAACCAGAACATGCTTTAATTATTCATTATTATTTTCCTAGGCTGCACTATTGTAACTTTCTACATAGGGCTGCTTTCCTTGGGGAAAAGGGACAGGCAGTGCCTAAACCATTGGTAGCCTAGCCCTCCCCCTTCTCTCTCTCTCTTTATGACACCCCTTCTTTCTCCCCCTGTTCATTTTCCTCCATGTTTAACAGTATGATAGGGAAGGCATGGGTTACTCTTTCCTGAGCTCTGAACTGACTGCTTGCAGTTTTGACATTCTGTATCTTCATTGTTAATTCTAAGATGAGTTGCTGTATTTGTTGTCATTAATTTGGTGTTCCTTATATTTCATCTTAGTCCCATTTTTTCACTGTGCTGCTTGACTTTCATTGCTAGAACCTGCATTTCCACCTATCACAGTAGTATCATCAGCATAGCACAGGTTATTGGTGTTTGTTCCTGCAATTTTAAAACCATGCTCATCTTCTTCCAATCCAGCCTCCTTCAATATATATTCAGCATAAAGGTTGAATAAATAAGGGGGAAGTATAAAGCCTTGTCTCACTTCTTTGCTGGCTTGGAGCCAGTATGTTTCACCATGTTCTGTTTGGGCTGTGGCTTCTTGTCCTATCTGAAAGTTTCACACTAGGACAATGAGATGTTCTGTGGTTCCTCTTTTCCTAAGGACATTCCACAGGTTGACATGATCAACACAATCAGGGGTCTTTCTATAATCAATGAAGCACATTCTGACTTCTTTTTGGTTTTTTTCTTTCTTTCTTAATTACCCAGTGTACATCAGCATTAATGTCTCTTTTCCTTGGCCATTTTTGAAACCAGTCTGAACATCTGGCATCTCCCTTTCAATGTATGTATGTAAACGGAATGATCCTAAGCATTATTTTACTAGCATGTGAAATGCAAAATCCAAAGGTTGAGGGTATTCCAATCTGCACATTAGCCCAGGAAATGATGGTCAGTTGTTTTGAAATTCAGACAGGGCAAAATGCTTGGGCAGCCCTAATTCTTACAGAAAAATAGGACAAATTCAGTGGCCATTTATTCGGACAGGCTCTTAAGGTGTGATGCTATGCTCCTTTAATATCTTTTTAAGACGGTTTAATTTAATTATGTATGATTTATCTATATTATTTGCTCATAGAGCCATTCTAATTGCTTAACATTGCTTTACTAGTAATGGCAATCACATACCATTATAAAAAGCAGATGTTAACTACAGATTGCCACCAGAGGGAGAAACGATATGACAGAATGTACTTCTCTGTTGAAAATATACTTCCCTGTTGTCAAGTTTGAATAAAGTAGGTTATCCTGAGACCAATCTAGAGACATTTAGGCAGGTACAGGCCTGCAGGGGTAAATGCTTGTTGTTCATGCCATCTGAAAAGCCAATGTTGAAATCCTAAACAGAGTTGTTTAAAATACAAGAGGGTTATTTCTAACTACTTTGCTTTATTTTCCAATTTGTAACCAATTTTCATGGACTCCAAGAAATTTAGGACAACTGATATTAAAGTGTTTCCTTTGGGTCCCCACTTATGGATTGGCTTTCCTTTTTTCTGCAAGGGAGATGTGGAACTTTGGGGAGTAAAATGCATTTGTTTCATTATTGTTTCGGTTGTGTAACAAATTTTCCAGGATATTTGCTATTTTTATTCCCTTTGTTTAACTTTCTTTTTCATCTTCTAGTCAGTGAGCCAAAGAAGTTAAACAAACATACTACACTCTCATTAGTTTTGAGTGTTCTTGCAGAAGCTTTCATTGCCTGGAATCAAAACCATGGGAAAGGAAGTGAAAATCCTATGTTTTCCCCAGTCCCTTGAGTACTGAATTCTTTTCTTGTTCTCTTCCAACTTGTTCAGGAAAAGGTGAGGTGAGGCAGAAGAAAAGACACTGGGAGCACTGGGAGCACATTCTTATGAACTGAGCTTGGAATGGCTCAAGGATTTCCAAATGCTGGAACTTTGCTTCCAACCCCCTTTGTTCTAATTTCATAAGGAGAGTTACAGGCAAGAACGCTGCAGTGCAATGCTTCCAATCTGTGTGAACTGATTTTCCAAAAGGTGTTATTAAAATGGTCTAAGTGGAAGATCAGCATGGCAAAGAAATACTGGCCTTTTATGGATATTGTCTCTAACAGAATGAATCTATGGAGCCATCACACTGCTGATATATATGGACAATTTGGCCCAGCAAGTGTTTTAGAAGTGTTGGGGTTTATTCCAATCTTCTCTCCTCTGGGTGTGCTCCAGACGCCTTGGCTTCAATTTCTAGAATTTTGTGCCATCATTATGGTAGTTGGACATTCTGGAAGTTGAGGCTTACGCAACTGGATGGAAGGAACTGATCTGAGGAAGACAGCATTATATTGTAATTACCCACATCTTTTGAATAGCTTATCCACATACAAAAGAAAAGGAAAAGGAAAAGTTCCAGCCTACACTAGCTGGTGGGAGTGGTTTGTTTAAAGAGCTGCTGTTGCTCTGTTTAAATTCCAAATAAAAATGTTATAACTATTTAATCATTCATAGCATTGCAACATATTGTCTTCCAGACCAAACTTCAGTAAACACATATCAACACTATCCTCTCTCTCTCTCTCTCACCTATCTTCCTTCTATCTTTCCATTTATTTCTTTAGCCAGCCAATCTTATCTATCTGTTGATGAAGAAACAAGGGGATATATTTAATATTTAGCACTCTTTGCTGCATCCAAAGAATAAGGTATAGTCTTCCTCTTCATGGACCAGAAACATTCTTCCCGCTAAGAAAAAATGATGGGCAAAACAGGATGAGTAGAAAAAGTACTTTTGATTCAGGGATGGAAAATCCACATGCTTTATCTCTAACGAAAGACTACAGTATAGAAAGCAAATCTAATCAGAATCTGCTGCATGTCTTAATCACCCAGTACTGGGACAAACTGTTCAGTGCAGGGAAACACAATAGAAATGTCTCATAAGTTGGAAGATTATATCAATTTTGCCACTTCTTTTTCATTAACATACATTGCATGGAGATGTCACATGGTTGGCCAAATGGGGGTATTTTCAATATCCTCTAAGGCATTTTCTGGTATGGATCTAATAGGATCTGCACATAAGGAAACCATTATTATTATTATTATTATTATTATTATTATTATTATTATTATTTATTGGAGAATTTTTTTACAGAGTAAAAGCAATACAAATTTAAAAAAGAAAAAGTAAAAAAAGTGATAAGTAAGAAATAAAAAAGAAAAGACGGAAAGGAAAGGAAAAGAAAAGAAAAGAAAAGAAAAAGAAAGATATAAAGAAGCAGCTTCCAATCTTCTTTAAAGTGGTTATAAATGCATTTATATTTTATCCTCTCTCTCTATAGTTATATTGTGGCTCCCTTCTTCCTATATTCTACCCTTTTGAATCATCAAACCCTTAAATCGCTAGTTCATTTTTTTTCCATTTTCAGCAAAATGTCCATAAAGGGTTTCCAGTCACTAACAAATGTAGTTGTCATATTTTCCCTGATCAAACATGCGCATGATGAATCCAACAGATGTCATTCAGGATAGCTGTTCCCTACAACCACCTAAACTTTCTGTGGAGAATGGATGGATAGCAAACTGGTGGGTAAAAGGACTTATTTGTTTTTTTATCATATATCATATTTAGTTCAGCAGTTTTTAACCTTTCACACTTCTCTACCTCCCCATGTGCTAGTAACTGGGTGGACCTTTCTCAAACCTGGAGGACATTTTATTCTCTGGAGTGGGGAGAAGAACTTCAGGCAAGCCACTGAACAACGTGAACTGGATGCTTTGGTGCTTGCAGTGCGCTCATTTTTTGTCCTCAAGAACAGAGGGGTTTTTTTCCCCAGAGATTTTCATGCAGGGTTTTTCTCCTCTCTCTCTTTTGTGTGCTTAAGGAGGGGGGCAGCTCCTCTTGTTTTTCCAGTTTGCTGATAATAGGCAGAAGAGGAATGGGAAGAATATTTCTACAGAGATCTAATCTAAAAATGAGCATTCTTCATTATATGCTTCAAGATACTCTTTAAACAGAGCAGCTGGTGCTATGCAGGCCTGAGATCTCAGTTCTGATCCATCTAACTGGAATTCTGCTTTGCATTAGAGGGCAATAGCAAATTTTTCATTTGCTAGGAAGCAAAGTATTCTGGAGGCAAACATATTGTGATATAAATATTTATTAATTAGCAAGAAAACAAACAGATGGATCATTGAACAAATCAGCCCAGAGCTCTCACACAAGGCACAAATGTCCAGGCTCAAATTATCCTACTCTGGGGACATTATGTGAAAAGCTGGCTCAGTAAAGAGTTTTAATACTGGGAAAGGTGGAAGGAAAGAGAAGAAGAGAATGACCACCACAAGGTGGATGGATTTAGTCACAATGTTGCTAATCCACATTCAGTCAGTCAGTCAATTTACATGGTTGCCTTGTAGCTAAGTGCCTCTGGATGGCTAACAAGGGTTAAAAACATCAAATAGAGGAAAATAATTAAAAAATAGAATCTAACCCCATACCTCATATAGTTCCAAGAGACTCATATAATATCCTAGCCCAGCACCAGTGGGAAGAACCAGATCTTCAGGGCTTTCTCAGGTTCAAGGCCAGCTGAATTTTGTGATGGGGAAGCTGTTCTGTGGGGCAGGTGCTACCTCCCAGGTCCCATAAGATGGAACTGTTCAGTTGATGGGACCCAGAGTATACCAGAATGATTGGATCTTATGGGACAGGCAGAAATAACCGGAGGCAGATAGTCCCACAAATATTCAGGCTAGACATCTTTTCAGAGT